TATATAAATAAATAAATAAATATAGATTTTAATTTTGACTCAAATCTGGTGATTTTATCATTATTAATATGTACTGTAGGTAGAAAACTATGATCATTGCATCTTTTGAAGTTGTTACAGTGCTTATTCCAATACAACAGGTTAACCCTGCACCTACCCATCATCCTTTCTGCTCTTACCTCTGAGCAGCATCTACCAGCTGCTTCCTTTGTTGTTCAGCAACAATGGCAAAGAGGCGTGGCACAACACTGCTGCTGTCCCTGGTTACAGAGTGAAAAAAGCGACGCGCTCGGCCAGCACTATGGTAACGGTTCTCCACCTGAAACAGAGGTCGCATGAGGGATATCATGCCAAAATCTAACTACTGGCTCGGTACAGAATAAGTGCGAAGGGCTGGGGCAAGTAACTGTTAGTAAAGTTCATTGCCAACAACTGATTGATTTTGGTTTCCAGTTTTGGTGTCTTATGAGGAGACTGGCTTACCTGTACATATATGCTCCAGAGTGGGGCACTGCTGGGCCAGGTGGAGAGGGCAGAGGTCAGTGTTTGTCTCAGTGTTGCCAGTGGAAACACACTGATACTGTTGTGGTACCTCAGCAACACTACCTGCTGCAGTGCTAATGCCTCGCACTCAGAGGCTAGTCTGTTAACATAATACGTATGGCTGGAATCCGCTGCAGAGTGGCTAGCGTCAGTACTTTGCTCATTACTGTTAAGCTGCTTGTCAAGTATTAGCGTGCGGTGCAGCTCCTCTATCCGTTCTCTAGCCTGGCTGTAGACAGCGTTGGCTGCTTCGATGCCCATTGTGAGGTACTGGAACAGAGCGTAGCAGCCTACCAGGCCTCTCAGCTTCGGCTTTTCTCCTAACAAGTCCTCTTGACCTGGTGATGGAAGGATGAGATGAAAATGAGACCTGTGCTTTTCCTACTGTGAATCTTTACAGAAGACATTTTGATATGTCTAAGGGAGAGGGAGAGAAGGAATCTACAATAAACTGAATGCTATAGCTTGACTCTGAAGAACAGGTTTGACGCTGTACAGAAATCCATCAGACAGAAGATGAAATGCAATCCAGAGGCCAGTGGCTACCATTAGTTTGGTTATTGGTAATTATACTAATATCTTGAATAATAATTAGTTATGTACCAATTTGATCTGCCCGATCGGTTTCAGGACAGATACCTGATTAAGTGGATTGGGTATTGGCAAGATGTGACCAATACAGTCAGTTTTTAATGCCACAGCAATCCCTGACCTCATGTTACCTTACATAAGAGGTTCATATGCATGACTGATGTGTAACTGGTAATAATAACTTATTGCTGAAGGTTGTTGTTTTAAACCAATTACTACCAATCATTTATCGGATACCTGACATTACTGACAAGTTTCAAGTCTCTGCAAGCTGAATTTTATGCCGCACTACAATAAGTAGAAAACACTGGCTTCATGACAAATGCAGTCATTATTCTAAACAAATAGCATAGTATGTTTGGAACAATGGTCAGCAGTAACCTTGAGTGAACAGGATTTGCAGTAACTGGGTTAAAACATGCAAAACCACTGGTATGGTCCTTTCATAGGACACATGCAGCACCTCCTTGACAGATGAAACACACAGGAGTTAAGTGAACCTTTTCTGTTGGCCTGAGGGTTGTGGGGGTTCTGGTCCAGGGCTGACAAGCTGGCCATCAGAGCCTGTTCGTACAACCTCCTGGCTTTCAGGATGGAAACCGGAGAGAGGGGCTGGGAGGATGAAGAGGAGGATGAGGAGGTTTCCTCTGCTAGCCGGGTTAGTACGCACACAGCTGGGGACACGGTGACATCAGTTAGTCCTCCTCCTCGCACAGTTGCCCCGCCCTCCACCTCCAGCTGGGCCCACAGCAGACACAGCTCACAGAGGTGGGGACTCCTCGGCCCTTTGGTTCCCCCCATTGCCGTGGCTGTGGAGAAGACTTTGCGAGCCTCGTCAAGGTTGCCTAGCATCCACTCCAGGTGGGCGTACTCCCGCCACAGCACCAACGACGAGCGGTTGTCGGGTTCTTTGAGCAGTTGCTTGGCAACCCGCTTGCTGCTCTTGCCTTGAGAGCGAAGACGCTTTTTGTTGCTGCCACGCAAGCAGCGCAAGACCTGACATATACACACAAATACAAATAAGTAAATTGGTGCAACGGTCAGACACTTTTTTTTTTTTTTACTTGAAACCAAGTTGACCTAAATGCTTTTTCTTACAAATTTAATACAACTTGGAGTCAGATAAAGCGACCCCTACCTTGAGTTTCTCGTACTGCATCCAGCTGAGAGACAGGGCGGCTCGATGGTGGGCAGGAAGGACAGGTCGGACCATATTGAACACGTTGGTGACAAACATCGCGCCCTGCTTCCCAAGCCCCACCCACTTCCTTGTTCCCTGGAGAGTGGTCATGTGACCTACCGAGTTAACCCCGGGGTCAGGTAGGTCGTGCGAGGTCAGAGGACGCTGGGGCTCATTTCCTAGGATATGACATGGAGCAAAATTTGTCATTGCCTTTATCTCAACTATATACTAATAAATAGCTAGTTTGTATTATTCTGACTGATGGTGTCATTTTTACCCTGAGTGAGCAGAGAAAGGTTCTCCAGCAGCAGGCTAGGCTGACAGGGGGTAGCAGAGAGCACAGGGTCTACGGGCAAACCCAGGAATGACAAGAAACGGAGAAGAAGACGGAGCTGGAGCTCTGGTGAAGACAGACAAATTAGGGAAGGGCCGATGTCATCAAATAACACCTAGAGTTGTAGAGAAAGAGACGAAGAAGTCAAACAACATGCTCGTATCACATCTTAATGTGTGAATGGCTTCACACTTTAAACAGTACCTGTCTGTCCGGGTCCTCACAGTCCTCTTCTGATTGGCCCTTGGTTTTGTCAGGCCTCCAGGGCAGCCAGTGAGTTGCTTCACGAGATGGCTCCACATTCAACCAGACTGTCCATCTGGGCTGGCTCCGATCCTTCACCTCCTCCTCGTCCTCTTCCTCCTCCTCTTCCTCCTCCTCCTCCTCCTCCTCAACTTCTTTGTCTTTCTCTTCTTTGTCTACCAACATCTTCCTGGTACTTTTTGTT